AAGAGACCATTTCTCCTTTAAAATAAACAATTAAAAAACTCCAATACACAACCCATTCCAAATGTTAATCATTCCAAAGATAACCACCTCAAATAATAACCTATCCCATTCAAATAAACATTCAATAACTCAACTCTGAACTATTCACAAGTATAAAGTAATCCCAGCATCCTAATAAAAAAGGACTAAATTTTAACCTAACAAAAACAGCTAATTTCTCCTTTAAAAAAATTTGCATAATTAGATACTAAGCATTGAGATACTAAATAATTAGGATACTGAAAATAGCTATAAAGAATTTAAACACCAAATAAACAAATCCCATATATCACATTATTCCAGTCAAACTATCAGTAAATCCAAAAAAACCCACCCAGATTAGCAGCGTCCCATTTTAACCCTGGTCAGATAAGCCAATTTTATATTCCTTTTTTTATATAGAACAATCTTTCTCTGTAATCCATTCCAATAGCTGTTGATCTTTATTACAAATTTCTTCCATTCCTTAAGCAGTCTCTTTTGTAAATCCAGCAAAAAAGATTTATTCCCATTACTCTCTGGGATTCTCTTTTTTATTTCCTTCTTAATTTTTAAAACCTCATACAGTTTTTGTTGGCGTTGTGAAAATGCTAATTCAAAAACCCTGAGGAGGAAAGAGGATTCATTCCTACCTCATAGAGAGCCATGAGGGGAAGAGAGAGAAAATGAGGGAACAGGAAAAAGGCGGGCTCCAAGCCCCTCCCACACAAAGCAGCAAAGCAAGGTGCAGCGGAGTCGCCCCTCCCTTTGTGCTCATGTGAGACAGGCTTAGTTGAAACCCCATATTTTCCAACAGTTTTCTCTTTGCGTCTGATGACAGGTTCTAAGTAGTAGCTGGCCTTGCCCAGATGCTTCACTTCTATATTCTCTATTTAGTTGAGAAACAATATCATTAAAGTCCCTCTTGTTATTGTGACAAATCATTAAGTCATCCACATAACAAAGTATATATACATCCCTCCCATTTCTGTGTCTTGTGTATAGGTAGGGGTCAGCTTTTCCTTGAACGAAGCCCTAGTCAAGAAGTATTTGGTTTAGTTCCACGCTCTGGCTGCCTGCTTCAGGCCATAAATTCCCTTCTGAAGCTTGCAAACAAGATGCTTGGTATTGGGATTAGTGAAGCCTG